CAAAGAAGGGTTGCAAACTGGAACACTCACTTCTGGGTTTGCAGCGCTTGGGAGCCAAAACATTTGAGTCAGAAGGCGTTCTACTTCCGAGGTACGACTGTATTTGCTTGGTGCAGGGCAAATAGCTCTTTATCTGCAGCTGGCCCATGTACACCTAGGTCTGCTTGTAAATAATTAGCACTGTAGTTTTTCTAGACTTTATATTGCTAGTTTAACGAAATGTCTTCAACAAGTGCCCTGCATGTGTATCTTAGATTACTATTTTAAAGCTACAAACAAGTAAATACTGTAGAAGTAATTTCAGAAACCCTCTTGTGCTGTATTCACACATGGTTATTTCTGTCCCTAAAATCATATGCAAAGTGTTCACTAATCAAAAGTGTTTTATCTGTTCTCAGATTGCCATTAAACGGGCAAGGAACATTGTGTTTCTTTTTATCCAAAATAGTATATATACAGTGGTACCTCTGGTTACGTACTTAATTCGTTCCGGAGGTCTGTTCTTAACCTGAAACTGTTCTTAGCCTGAAGAACTTTAGCTAATGGGGTCTCCTGCTGCTGTTACGCTGCCGCCGTGCGATTTCTGTTCTCATCCTGAAGCAAAGTTCTTAACCCAAGGTACTATTTCTGGGTTAGGGGAGTCTGTAACCTGAAGCGTCTGTAACCCGAGATACCACTGTATTTCAATTATTGCTTTTGGAGTATGGGCAGAAAGAAATAATGGTGGGTAATAAATCTGTAGGTGTAATGACAATCTAATCAGTCCTTAATGTGGGCCAGCCTTTGAAGTGCACACATCCCTAAATATTTTAATTTGGAATGCTTGTTCCTGAGGAAACAGCCTCTTTTGCAAGGAAATTGATTTTTTGAGAGCAAGTTCTAAAGCGTGATCCGTAAACAAGTTTGCTTATACAGTATAGCAGGTGGTACTGCAGTTCTCAGTGGGCATAAATTAGGAGCATCAATTCACTGATCCACTAAAAAAAAAATCTAGTTGTATATATCGTTGGGAAATGACAATATCATATTGGTAGCACATCTGCTTTGCATATAGAACATCATAGGTTCAAATTCCTGGCATCTTCGCTTTCTGTCTCAGTAGATGGCTGGTTCCTATATTCCTATCTGCTGCTGATCCAGGAACTTTCAGAAGTTACTGTGTGATGGCAAATGTTCCTGTTCTCCCCCTTCCCCATCTCCCATTATACTTTTTAAAGGCACCCCTGCCCGTACGGGCCAGTCGTGTCCGACTCTAGGGTTGTGCGCCCATTTCACTTAAGAGGCCGGGGGCCAGCGCTGTCCGGAGACACTTCTGGGTCACGTGGCCAGCGTGATGAAGCTGCTCTGGCGAGCCAGCACCAGCGCAGCACACGGAAACGCCGTTTACCTTCCCGCTATAAAGCGGTACCTATTTATCTACTTGCACTTAAGAGTGCTTTTCGAACTGCTGGGTGGGCAGGAGCTGGGACTGAACGACGGGAGCTCATCCCGCCGCGGGGATTCGAACCGCCGACCATACGATCGGCAAGTCCTAGGCGCTGAGGTTTTACCCACAGCGCCACCCGCGTCCCCATTATACTTTTTAGCAGGGGCTGTTTGAGTAAAGTGGAGATTATTAATTAATCTGCTTGTGAGTTCATACTGGGGGCATCTGTTGACCTAGGATAAGATACAGAAGACCCAAGGGTGACATGATAACCAACTGTAGGAGCTACTGGCACTGTGCCTTCAGGTGATGTGGAGGGAGGGAGGGAAGAATATTTTGCAGGCATTAACACAGGTTTTCTTAGGTTTGAAATCATCTCTTCCCATCCCCGCTTTGATGTTCAGAAACAATTTTCCAAGCAAGTCAATTAAGGACAGAAGCATGAGAAGCTCTCTGCTAGTGAAACCTTGAATGAAGTGCACACAAGAGTTTAGAGTGCAATTAAAACCAACAAGATTTTTTTTTTTTTTTACTGTGAATATCAAGGAAAAGAAAAAATTAATTGCTGCTTGCATGCATAATAAGGCAAGCCCGGGACTGGGTTAAGACAGTGTGAAATCTTAAAGCTTTAAACAAAGTTAATTCATATCCTTCTAATAAAAATGTCTTGCAAACTGCTATATATATCTAGCTCTTGCTTCAATATTTATTGGGGCTGTTTTGAGCAACTAATAAAATATTGGTTTTTGTTACGGTGATCGTAATTAGCAGAAATCGTGTTTTACACAAACTTGGCATTTTGGAAGGTATACAGATTAATGGGTTAAATCCAGAGGGGTGCTAATAACATTTTGGCTTCCATCCATTATTCCCCCTGATTTCTGCACACACAGAAAAACTTGCAGACAAGAAGCTATTAAATGGCCTAATGGGGCATCGAACTAACCTAAGGCATTTTGTGTAGGGAACGGCTTCCTCCTTAACTTCTTATTAGAACTCCCTCAAGTATAACGCAAGGATGGAGGAAATCAAACTGAAAATGCAAACAAAATGTGCTGCACTTGGTTCTTGTATTGAATGGAAGGAGCAAAATAAACATCCATATTGTTAAATAGTGTTACTATGATTGTAGAATTTAAAACAGCAGGAAAACAATTGGTGATTGTACAGATTTGAGTCTTTTGATTGTTATACCGGCATGAAAAAGTGAAATTTGCCAGCATTATAATGATCTAAGAGTGTTATTCCAGTATACATTCATACTTGTTTTTATACTTGTAAACCACTTAGAGACCTATTTTGGCACTAAGCGGTATGTAAATTAATAAATAATGATGACAGTTATAGCTGTAGATATATGATGGCAGTGATTTTGATATGATGGCACCATGATGGCAGTGATTTTGATCAGGGCTCTGGCATGAGGGCAGTGGGAGAGGGTTTAGCTTTCCATTCACATCTGTTGCGGTTCTGATGTGGTTTTGATATACAGTAGTACCTCGGGTTACATACGCTTCAGGTTACAGACTCTGCTAACCCAGAAATAGTGCTTCAGGTTAAGAACTTTGCTTCAGGATGAGAACAGAAATCGGGCTCCGGCGGCGTGGCAGCAGCAGCAGCAGGAGGCCCCATTAGCTAACGTGGTGCTTCAGGTGAAGAACAGTTTCAGGTTAAGAACAGATCTCCAGAACGAATTAAGTACTTAACCCGAGTTACCACTATGTGTGTGTGTGTGTGTGTGTGTGTGTGTGTGTGTGTGTAGATAGATAGTGCTTTTTTTCTTTTTTAAAAAAATGTTTGGGGGTACTCTCATTTTTCTACTCATATTGAAATATTGTCTCTCAATGAGACCAAACTTAGATTCACAAAATGTTTAGCGGTATGTGTACGGCTGCATCCACCCAGAAAAAAGCACTGGAGATAGATAGATGATAGATAGATAGATAGATAGATAGATGATAGATAGATAGTTTTATTGATATAATACAGTGCATTTTCTACCTCTGAGCATTTATTTTACACCTAGCGTCTTCCAATATAATCAAAATAATCCAGTATGTTCCTGTGTTCAACTCAGGTTTTTCTTTAAAAAAGTGAACACCTAAAAATTTAAAATGCAATGCAACAGATAATTTGCAAATGCATGTTTTACAGAGGTACACTAGTCAGAGAGCCATGAGCTTGTCAGTGCTGCAGCTTTCTGCCAGCACAGTTCTACTGATGTGCTATAGGTAAAATGGCTCTTTAGAATGATGCTAGTCCGCTCAGTGACAATGTTTGCAGGAAGGATTACAGAGAAAGCACTTAAGCTTGCTTAGGACTGGGAGGTTCACTGCCCAAATACACACAATGGCATATGAATGTCAAATCAGAAACCTGGAAGACAGGGACAGAAGAATAATTACCCTGACAAATGCATTTGATAAAAGGCCTAACAGAAGTACTGGTTGTGTGCTGCTGCCCTGGAATTCCTGTTGTTTCCTCATATTAACCTAGAGAGCATTTGCTTCTTGTAGTTATACCCCTGCTTCCCACTTCTTTAACCTCTTTTTGAGCTTTCAGGTCACCAGCCATTCAAAACATTTGGCAGTAATTCCCAACAAAGTTCTTCCCATCATTTAGTCACTTGGCAGATACTGTCGAAAGCTCCTGAACTAACCCTGTTGTTGGTGTCAAATCAACCAAGAAACAGATACTTCCTCAGATGTCAAAAGGGCTGCATTCCATTGTTGCCTGGTGTACGGAGTGAGAGACATCACACTTCATTAATTGAAGGTGGGCAGAGGGAGTTGTTGTTGTTGTTTAGTCGTTTAGTCGTGTCCGACTCTTTGTGACTCCATGGACCAGAGCACGCCAGGCACTCCTGTCTTCCACTGCCTCCCGCAGTTTGGTCAAACTCATGCTGGTAGCCTTGAGAACACTGTCCAACCATCTCGTCCTCTGTCGTCCCCTTCTCCTTGTGCCCTCTGTCTTTCCCAGCATCAGGGTCTTTTCCAGGGAGTCTTCTCTTCTCATGAGGTGGCCAAAGTATTGGAATCTCAGCTTCAGGATCTGTCCTTCCAGTGAGTGGATTTCCTTCAGAATGGATAGGTTTGATCTTCTTGCAGTCCATGGGACTCTCAAGAGGGAGAGGCATGGCTAATTTGGAACAAGAGACACAAAACTGAATGCGCCTCCAAAGTATTTCCAGGGAACAAGGGGGAGTTGGTGTTCCTATGATACCAGTGTGATTCAGAGCATCTGCCTGAAGGTCTGGAGTTCAAATTAATTCCTTTAAATATTTTAATATTAATTTAAACCTTTTGGGAATAGCGGTGTTTTGCCATCTTCTTTGGATTGCCTTATGGAATTAGATTTGATTTAATATTGAAAGAGTGATTACTACATGGTTAAAGCAAATAAAAGATGGGAAGGGGAGAGAAATAAAATCCAAAAATTCCCAACACTATCTCTTCCCTCCAGGGCCTACTGCAAGCCTTTTTAGCTTGTCTTGTCCCTTAGCAGTGAATTTTGAGTTGACTGCAATCAAATTTGTGGGTGTTTTGTGTGTTCATAGTGTTTAGGAAAGGGAAAAAACAACAACCTTATCACGGCTTCTCAGTAGATTTAGCATATAATTGTAGAGTTAACTAATTTTTCTAAGATCTTAAAGTACTTGAAAATATGCCCTTGGGAACAATCTTGCCATAGCAGGGAATGCAGAAGATGAATGAACAGGTTCCTGCTGTCTCTTTGATTTCCACAGTCCCTTTTTTAATGGCCTCTCTCCCCATGAGATTGCCCAAAATTCTGAAATATTAGTCACTCGGTTTTGTTTACTGATATTCTTCTCCTACAGTTGCAAAAAATAAGAGTTAAAAATTGCTTAGGTTATACTGTGTGTGTGTGTGTGTGTGTGTGTGTGTGTGTGTGTGTGTGAATACAGGAAGAGGGTTGTAGGGAGGCCAGGATGTAAACATAGTCAACATTCTTGTGTGCCTCTTAGAGCATGGGTTGATGTAAAAATCCAGGTTGATTGTGGTTGGAGTGTTGGATTGGACCAGGAAATCTAGATTCAAAACCTTATTGGCCATTAAGCTCACTTCACTGAGTGGCCTTGGCTCAGTCACATCCCATGGCTTAACACGTCCCTGTCATGATTGGGTTCTACACCTGTAGCATCTTCCCCACTTGTGAAGTCCCAACCTTGTGCCCTCTCATCAGCCGCAGCCAGCATGCGTAGCTGGCATGGTCTAGGTTGGAGAAGGCCGCACAGCAAAATTAGCTGTCAGCCATAGGTGATGAAGCAGACAGCCCTAATATCCAGGGCTTTAGATGCCTCCTGTCATTCATTTGCTACGTACCCAGTTCTTATGCAGTTCACTTTGGTAACATATGTTTGTCAAACCAGGCAGAGGAAACGGTTTGAAAACTGTCCAAAAATATATCACAGTTAGGGGTGGGGGAGACTGAGCTGCGGCAAACATGAAACAATTCTCCCGTCTAGCAGACTTCTTTCGTGTGTTGTGCTTGCCTTCAAACCATGGGGAAAGCATTTGTATTCTGTGCAAATAAAACAAAAGTGTGATTTTATCGCTAAAGATTTAGTTGTTATTCTGGAAATATTCATTGTTTTATTTAAAACAGGACTTTCCTTTCTTTACAACTATATAATAAACTAATTGCTTCATTTCAGCTCTGATTTAAACAAGTTTTATTCAATGCAGGCAGTACACTTAAAGCTAATTTATTGCATCTAGATTAAAAAAAACCCCTGTCATTTAGTTTTATGGCACTTCCTAAAAGAAAACAAATTTTAAGTTGTTTTGGTTGTTTAGATCCTTTGAGGAATAAAGAGGGCTACAGTTCAGACAAGTCCATTTCCTTCTGTAATGGGAAATATTCCAAGCATTTCTCTTCAAACAAAACCCAAAAGATTATCTTTACAGACTTCTGTTTAGGAGATTTTTGGACAACACCCTAGAACAGGAAGCCACAGTTTTTCCCAAATTTATACAGGATGGAAATAGATAATATTTCCATTATGAAAACACCCAGCTGCGACTAATGATTTCAGATTTTATAATGGAAGTTTTTGGCACACACTCTTTGGCTGTACCTGAAAGTTTAATTTTAGTCAACAATTCAACATAACGGGTGGAATCCAATTTGTAATTCTAAGCACTGTGCCTCCAAAGATTAGTCAAGAATTTAACAGTGGGTGAAATCTAGCTGGTTAGAGGAGGCAGGGAGATGACTTTCTGCTGATTTCCGTTTCCACCCTGCAACTCCCCATGCATTTGGAGAAGTGCGAATTTCAAAGTTTCCGGACACATATTGTTGCAGAAAGTGTGAATTAGGTTTGCCTTGTAATGTGGACAGAATCAAATTCTCAACGCCCCCCCCCCCCGTTCCTATGCAAAGCAGAAGGGTAGTGGTTGCTTAATCCTTCCCCAATATGTCATTAGATTTGCATAGCTTTGCCTAATACAGTTGCCACATAGATTAGTCAATTATGTCAGCCAGTTTGGGGAAACCTGAATCCCACGTGGGGCAGCCATTCACTAAAGTCCAAGCGAGGAGGCAGAGGAGAATTTTGACAAAGAAATGTTGCCTCTGTGTTAGTTCCTGCTTCTGCCTATGGAATTAGTTGGTCTAACGTATATATAAAGTTTTTTTCTGAGCAGAAATGGTTGGGGGGGGGGGCAGCAAGCAAGTAAAATCCACTGACATTAATGGAACTTAACCTTTTAACACCTAACATTTTCTCCATGTGCGTCTTCAAATGGCATTCTAGGAAAGTAAACGATCTTGTTTAATATCTGAGGCCTTCTGTGAATGTGAAACAGTTAGACTAAAAATGTCCTTATTGTTATAATAAATATCTGGTTTACGCTGATAAGAATTGAGAGGGTTCATGTAGTGCCAGGCGAAAAAGCCAAAAGAATCAGTTTAATTGAATCTTCTTACTTGGAATGTCACAGTTCTACAGAATAGAGGTCTGGGGAATTGGGGCAAAACGCTGCCTTGGCACCTTCTTATTGGCTGCGTGGTTCAGTTGTATTATTGCTTCTTGTCCCACTGAAACCAATTGTAGGCAAGTTGTTTTTTTATAGCAGACAAAATGTGTCTTTTGTGCTAACCTTGACTGTATAAATATATGGTTCAGGTTATATATCACTGAATTTATTGGGTCAAATGAGGAGAAATACATATAAAAAAGTTTGAAGCAGTGGGAGATTTATTTCTTAATGCCTCTGTTTTCTTGTTTTATTACGTTCTCAGAACTTGCATGCTTTGCATGGATGTGCCACTAATTTTATCTCTGACCTTGCGTGGTGCTTGGGAACACAATTTAAAAACAAAACCAAACGTTCTAAAAATAGTGCCATTCCATTTTTCACCAGACGCTCTTTTAAATGGTGTTAGTCTGAGAGTGATGTCTACAATCATGGGAACCACAAGCACTGGGGTCATCGCAACTGTTATAGTACAGGGGCCTTCGCCCTAAAACCATTCTCCCTTTTACCCACAATATCTGCCTCTGAACCCATAAGTTGAGCATCTTGTTTTTAGTTTGTCTGGTTTGCTTCCTTGCCACGTCTGGAACTATTGGATCTGTTCTCTGATTACATGGCATTTGCGTTATCTGGATTATGTGGGCTGATTTGTGAGACATTGGTGGATGTATGGGCTTCCCATTTCATTATGTATTCTTTATTTTTATATCCCTACTTTCCTCCAAGGAGCCCAAGATGGCGTACATAGTTCTCCCTTCCCTGTTTTATTTTCCCAGCTGATGTGCTTAGGTTGAGAGACAGTGAGTGCTTCAAGGTCACCCAGTGAACTGCAAGGGTGACTGGGGATTTGAACTCTTAAGTATCCTAGGTAGCAGCCAAACACTCTAACCATTGTGCCACACTGCTTCTCAGTGGCATGGGCTAGGATATGTTGACCCCTTCCTTTTCTGTGGTTCCATGACTTTTCTGCTATCCCATTTTAGACTTTTTTTGCCATCTACAGGATAGCTTTGTTCGCTGTAGCCACTGAGAAAATTAGAAATATGCTGATTTGACTTATGTCCTATGACTCGGGGATAATTTGATATAAATTTACATTGAGCTTCCTCTTCTAAACCAATGCTCCTCCCCCTCCCATAATAATAGCAATATTTATAGTTACTTTATTTTGATCTAAATTTTTTTAAAAATGATATTTATTACTTTTTCAACATTTCCAACACAACACTACAAACAAACAAACAAACAAAGAAAGAAAAAAGAGAAAAAACAATACAAATACAATACAAAAACGCTATATGGACTAACAAAACAAACAAAAATAAACAAACAAAAACAATTTAAAAACACCTCAAACATTTTCAATATCTTATATTTCATTCACTTATTTCCAGCGACCTCCTCACACCTCCCTTTTTGTGTTCCACTTCTATTATTTGTTTCAGCAATTCCTTTCCATCTTACTCTGTTTTCTGTTCTATAATTATCTTAACACATTCTTACCATGCTTTTCCTTTAATTTTCTATTAATCTATTTATACTTAATTCTTTATGACATTTCTACTAAAGCCATGTAATTTCATTCCAACATTTTTCTAACATTCCTTAATTTTACAATATTTCTATAAATAGTCTTTAAACTTTTTCCAATCTTCTTCCACCGACTCTTCACCCTGGTCTCGGATCTTGCCAGTCATTTCCGCCAATTCCATATAGTCCATCAACTTCGTCTGCCATTGTCCAACACTTCAATGTTTTCAAAAAGCAACCATTCTCTCAACCAGCAAAAAGCAGATGGATCTCAACGAAGTTTAGAGGTCTGGCAGGGCAGGTCCACCTCCTTCTTTGGCATCCATCAATATCTTAAGTTTTACTCGAGGCTTCCTGCCCTGCCAAACAACTCTAGGAGCATCCCTCTGCCACCTCCTGAAACCCTCCGTCCCATCCAAAGCTTGCAATGTTTGAAACAAAAACAACATCCCCAGCAACACAGCAGCCCTCATCCCCACCACAATAACTCGGCCCAACAATAACAACTTCTGATTTGTCCGTATTTCCAAATCCCCCTTCTCTTCAATCCAACATCCTTCACAGTTATCCTTAAGCAGATTCACATTTTTGGCGGTCATACTAACCCCCAAATACCTCTCTTTCTCAACCAATGTTAGTCCTGTCACCTCCTGAAACTCTGTCAAGCTTTCCTTTTCCAATTCAGATAGGTCTCTGGTCCTCAAATTCATCCATTCTTCTTTAAGTTCAATCATAACAAATGTCAGCTTATATTCATCAAGTTGTCTTTGTATGGATGGGACTCTCCTCTCCAGTTGTATTACTTTGGATTCCGCAGCAGGGGTTTTTTCCCTGACTTCATCTGCAGTTTGCCGTATCAGAGTAGATTCCTGTGTCAGTTTCTGGGTAGTTTCTGAATTGGTATTCACCTTTTGTCCCAAGTTATTTAAACTTTCTACACTTAAATCAATTTCAATATTTGCAACATCCAATTTCACATTTATCGCATCTGTTTTCTTATGAAGTTGTTCCAGCGAGTCGTTTATTTTCAATAATGCAGCCACTAAGGCCTCCTCTGCCGACATCCCGTCTGTTTTTTCCTTTCCGTTTGCCATAACACTTAAGAGATTCAAGGTCATTCCAAAGTCTCACACTTTTTTATCTTGCAGCTGGAAATTCCCCTAGCCCAGCTCCTATAAAGTTACCAATTTCAAAAGCTTCCACTAGGGGAAAACAGGTTGTATTTGTATCGGATAATTTGATATAAATTTACATTGAGCTTCCTCTTCTAAACCAATGCTCCTCCCTCCCCCCCCATAATAATAATAGCAATATTAATAGTTACTTTATTTTGATCTAAATTTTTATACAGCGCTGTGCTGTGGATGGCTCAGACCGACTGATTTCAAGAAAGGTTAGGATAGTGTCTAATTTTGTGATCAGTGACTCACTACCTGCTCCATCCTGACCTTTCCATGGCCTCAATTCCTCAGTATCTGCAAATTAGGATTCTTAGGTCTCTGTTGCTTTAAGGCACACATGGGCAACCCGTGTTGCCTCTTCAGTGGCACAAGAACCCCTGATCAGCTGGCAGCTGGGGAGAAGTGAACACGCCTGCACTGATACTCCTAGAGCAGGAACCCTGATCTTGACTGCATCGGGTGTCTTGCGCTGCAACTGGTCAAAGCCTCGCCTTGTATTATCTCAATAGTGCCAGACTCCACAGTTCCTGCGCTGCTCATTACTGTGCAGAGACAGCAACTTCAGGTCACTAGGAGGTGTGGGAATAAAGGCCCCCTCCCCTCCCCAGCAATTTTAAAAGGTTTTAAACAGTTCTAATTTTGGTTCCTCTGTTTTGTTTTTGTGTGGTTGGTGTTGGTTAAATGTTTAGTTGAGGTCAGATCACTTTTCCAATTTTTAGCTATTAAAATCCTAGCCGCTGTGGTTGCATACATAAACAGGGTTCTGAGGTTTTTCTGTATTTCCATGGACATAATGCCTAACAAAAAGGCTTCAGGTGTTTTTTTTAAGGACAGTTTGAAAGAACTCTTTTTGAGTTCATTTTATATTGTATCCCATAATTCTTTTATCTTCAGGCATTCCCACCACATGTGCATGAAGGTACCTACCCCATTTTACACCTCCAACATACATCTGAGCTATTCTTATACATCTTGGCCAATCTGGTCGGGGTCAGGTACCATTGGTACAACATTCTCATTACATTTTCTCTCAAATTGTAGCATGCGGTGAACTTTATATCTTCTCTCCAAATATATATATATATAGTGTTCCGTGTCCTGAGCCCTGGACACTGAATGGCTCTTCTTTCACATATGTCTGGGTATTCAAAACACACACAATGCTAATCTATAACAGCCCCACTTGTTTGGGGAAGGGCTAGTGCAAGGTGTGACTGTGTGCCTCCCCCCATGTGATTCTATTTGCTTGTATTTGAATGTCTGAATAACCCTCTGCATTTTTCTCATATATATGTGTTCTGTTCCCCCTTGGAAATGCAGACTTGTATTTGTGATTCTTTTTCTCATATGCATAAAATCCTCTTTCTCATAAAAAAAAACTTTGTAAAAGAAATATTATCGTCTTCTATCTATCTATCTATCTATCTAATTTTCAAGTTTGGCTGATAATATTGAAAAATATGGAAGAGATTAAGTACAAACTGGATCTTTGACGTGCAAACCTGTTTTCCTTGTTTGTTTGAAAACATTCAGTTAAGGAGCTTAGTAAAAGTTTTGTGTAAAACTTGTAAATGAATTCCAAGAAAAGCAATACGGTCTGTGAAAACTGGAATGATTACTTGGTAGGAAATTGAAATGTGTAAAATAATAGGAACGGAAGCATGCTGTGTACAAAGTAGAGAGGCATAATACTGCCTCAGGGTATGCTGGGAGTTAAAATATACATGTTGAAAGCAGGCTAGCGCAGTAAGGAAGGCTTGCCTTTAAAAATAATAATAATAACCATTCAGACATGCCATGAAATAGTCATATTTCACCTTTATTTTCCCTACATTTTTGGCTCTGTCGGATTTGACTTTTCTGTATTTTAAAAAATAAAAAGTATGAAAAACAATTCCATAGTTTTAAAATGTGTTGTTTTATAAGCCCTCAACATGGCCACTGAGTCTTAGGGACTGTGTGATAGAGGAGTGTACAGTGGTGCCCCGCAAGACGAACGCCTCGCAAGACGAAAAACCCGCTAGACGAAAGGGTTTTCCGTTTTGGAGGCGCTTCGCAAACGCAATTTCCTATGGGCTTGCTTCGCAAGACGAAAGCCCATAGGGAAATCTCCGGTCCGCGAAGCCTGGGCGCGCTGATCTCAGCGCGCGCAGGCTTCGGCATGCCGGCAACTCTCCGCGAGCAGCGGCAGCGCTGCCGCTGCTCGCGGAGAGGTCCGCGGAGCCTGGGCGCGCTGATCTCAGCGCGCGCAGGCTCGGCATGCCGGCAACTCTCCGCGAGCAGCGGCAGCGCTGCCGCTGCTCGCGGAGAGGTCCGCTGAGCCTGGGCGCGCTGATCTCAGCGCGCGCAGGCTCCGGCATGCCGGCAACTCTCCGCGAGCAGCGGCAGCGCTGCCGCTGCTCGCGGAGAGGTCCGCGAAGCCTGGGCGCGCTGATCTCAGCGCGCGCAGGCTCCGGCATGCCGGCAACTCTCCGCGAGCAGCGGCAGGCGCTGCCGCTGCTCGCGGAGAGGTCCGCGAAGCCTGGGCGCGCTGATCTCAGCGCGCGCAGGCTTCGGCATGCCGGCAACTCTCCGCGAGCAGCGGCAGCGCTGCCGCTGCTCGCGGAGAGGTCCGCGAAGCCTGGGCGCGCTGATCTCAGCGCGCGCAGGCCGGCATGCCGGCAACTCTCCGCGAGCAGCCTGGGCGCGCTGATCTCAGCGCGCGCAGGCTTCGGCATGCCGGCAACTCTCCGCGAGCAGCGGCAGCGCTGCCGCTGCTCGCGGAGAGGTCCGCGAGCCTGGGCGCGCTGATCTCAGCGCGCGCAGGCTTCGGCATGCCGGCAACTCTCCGCGAGCAGCGGCAGCGCTGCCGCTGCTCGCGGAGAGGTCCGCGAGGCCTGGGCGCGCTGATCTCAGCGCGCGCAGGCTTCGGCATGCCGGCAACTCTCCGCGAGCAGCGGCAGCGCTGCCGCTGCTCGCGGAGAGGTCCGCGAAGCCTGGGCGCGCTGATCTCAGCGCGCGCGCAGGCTGCCGGCATCGCAGCGCGCGCTGCTCCGCGCAGCGCAGCGGCTCTCCGCAGCAGCGGCAGCGCTGCCGCTGCTCGCGGAGAGGTCCGCGAAGCCTGGGCGCGCTGATCTCAGCGCGCGCAGGCTTCGGCATGCCGGCAACTCGCCGCGAGCAGCGGCAGCGCTGCCGCTGCTCGCGGAGAGGTCCGCGAAGCCTGGGCACGCTGATCTCAGCGCGCGCAGGCTTCGGCATGCCGGCAACTCTCCGCAAGCAGCGGCAGTGCTGCCGCTGCTTGCGGAGAGGTCCGCGAAGCCTTGGCTGGACAGCTTTTGAAGGCAGGTGGGGGGACAAAGACTTTCGCCCCCGCCAGCCTTCAGAAGAGGTCCAGGACCTCTTCTGAAGGCTGGCGGGGGCAAAGTCTTTGTCCCCCTGCCTGCCTTCCCAGGGGCTTTAAATTGCCCCGGACAGCGGAGAAGTCCTCCGCTGTCCCGGGCAATTTTAAAATGCCGCCCGCCAGCATTTTAAGATCGCCCCGGACAGCGGAGAAGCCCTCCGCTGTCCCGGGTTTTTAAAATGCTGGGGGTGGGAAGAAAGCCCTTGTCCCCCCAGCCTTCAGAAGAGGTCGGGGACAGACTGTCCCGGACCTGGTCTGAAGTCGGTTTCCTAGGAACGCATTAATTGATTTTCAATGCATTCCTATGGGAAACCGTGCATCGCAAGACGAAAAACTCGCAAGAAGAAAAAACTTGCGGAACGAATTAATTTCGTCTTGCGAGGCACCACTGTATCTTTATCTGATACCTTAAGAATGAAAAAAAGCATTAAAAACTCTACTAAAAACCAAAGAACTGAGCATGTTGTAGTAGTGAGATGTGCTGTGTCAAACGGTTGGAGCGGATGTTAAGTTTTACCCTGTGACAGCTTTGCCCTCAAGTGTCGTTTCTAGAGTGGGCTTTGAGTCTCAGACTGCCAATAAAAACGGAGAGAAGCGATTTCTCAGTATGATGCTTGCCACAAGAGTGAGTTGATGCTGGATGGAAGAGGGACAAAAGAAGCAAAAACTCGCCTTGAGGCACATACAGGCCTGCTTGTCCTAGCTTTGCAGTTTTTGCATTTGGCTGTTGTTTGTGAAGTCCGGTCCTTTTGCATCCCTCAAATATTGGTCAGCTGTGCGCCATAAAAAAAAAGAAGTCGAGGTTTGGCTTCCCCATGCCTCCCCTTTTTTTTCCTCTTGTAATAAAGTGGTGTGCCATTGGCTGAGTAATTTTCAGCTCCAAATGAGACGAGATCAGTCACAGTGGTTTTCACAGGATGGATGTGAAGGATGGATGGTGGTGCCACTTAATCAGAGATGGAGAGAATATGTGTCTGCAAACTCATTGAGTGTAACATTTCCTAAATCAGAGAACAGTGCTGCTGCCCAGACTTGCTATTGTGTGTGTGTGTGTTTTTTAATAAAACAAACAAACAAACAAACAAACAAACAAAAACCCCAGATCTTTAGTTTAAATCAGGGTAGGCAAACTAAGGCCCCGGAGCCGGATGCAGCCCAATCGCCTTCTAAATCAGCGTGTTTTTACATGAGTATAATGTGTCCTTTTATTTAAAATGCATCTCTGGGTTATTTGTGGGGCCTGCCTGGTGTTTGTACATGAGTAGAATGTGTGCTTTTATTTAAAATGCATCTCTGGCTTTTTTGTGAGGCATAGGAATTTGTTCATCATCCCCCCCCCCCATATGGTCCAGCCCACCACATGGTCTGAGGGATGGTGGACCAGCCCACGGCTGAAAAAGGTTGCTGACCCCTGCTCTATCCGGTATAGCTCCTTGGGATTCCCCTCTACTAGCCCATCTCCACAAATTCCATATTCGTTTAGTTCTTTTGCTCCCAGCCTTCTTTTTCTGCAGTGACACCGCTCAAAGCACTTTCAAAATTTGAAATGTCTTTCCCTGATTCACGCTCCTTGTTTCACTCTGGACTTGATATCCTTTGAGATTGATCCACATGAATTTTGACCCTAAGATGGGGTTAGCCGCAATCTAATCATATGTGAACATTTTGGTAAAACTGTTGCCCTACAGCAGTAATGAATGGTATGCGATAGAGTCTTGTCTTTTGAAGGAAGTAATCTGCCAGATGGTATTTGGGTGGGGGACAATTTTTAGTTAGAATCATAGAAGCATAGAGTGGGAATGGACCTTAAGGATCATCTAGTCTACCCCCTGCAATCCAGGAAAATACAGTTGGCCCTTATGGGGCTCAAACCCATGACCTTGGTATTACTAGCATCACGCTCTAACCAACTGAGCTAACTGATGTTTCCTCCCCCTCCAGCTCCCTTGCAGTCTGTACTGTGGGGCTCCCCAACTCTCCAGAGCATTTAGGGAAGGCAGGAAGATTTATTTGAGGGAGGGCAAATCATACTCCAAAATCTCCTCCTGTTCTGCTGTCAGATTCCATCCTTCAACACACAGACACCACTGGGTACTACCCAGTGGATGTTATTCTAAAATGTGAGGCTTATGCGGGTTTATTCCCATTTTTTTTGGTAAGAAATCTCTTCTCATGTTTCAATTACTTACTTCAAATAAAATTATTACCCTTAAGCCATCAGTGCTGAAAAACAAAAGTTGCTCTGCATATTGAAGTCTTTGAAAATAAACTGATTTTAGTGGCTTTCATTTTATCCATAATTGCAGTTTGCTTTGGCACAGCTGTTTGAGTAAACCTGCAAAATGAATTAGAAATGGATTGATGAAGCTGTAAGACAAAATACGGAGGGATATGGTTAAGCGGTTTTCAAGAAAAAAGCACACTTCATTCGATTGTCAGTATGTAATGGCTTTATTTTGAAAGCAAAACGAAATGAAACAATAGGTCCAATTTCTGTATTAACAACAAAGGCATAATTTTCTTACAAGCTTCTGAAGTATTTTAAATCCATATAATTATCTTTCAGTCGGCAGATTTTGTTCTTGTCATTTATAGGATAAGTACATCCATTGGCCTTTTTCCGACGCTACAATCTAAAAGCATAAAGAACATGAGGGTAAGCTCAACATACTCACATAACTCCAAACATTGATACGGCATGGCAGATTCTATTATTTACAGTGCTCTGGCAATCCTGCTGAGAGCTAATTGGGTTTCATTTATTTATTTACTGATAATACTTTTATTGATTTTTTTTTAAAAAAATCAAATTTAACAAATAAGGAAATAGAAGCAAAAAATAGAGAGGGAAAGAAAAGGGGGGTGACAGAAAAAAACCTTGTCAGCTCACAATAAGAATACTACAGCCATAAATACATCCAGCTCAATTGGGTTCTATTTATAATGGCATTTTGAGCTGGCGCTCCTCTTACCAAGTCAGCACTACATGTGAAAAAGTTTCCCACAGCCACTACTGGGAGTTCTAGCTGGTGAACCATTTTCGTGCTTGCACTCATCAGATAATTATGGGCTGCAGCTCTCATCATCTCTGGCCATTGACCCTGCTGGTTTTGTTGTCCCAAACATCAGGAGGGCACCATATTGTCTACCCCTGCCTTATGCGATGGTCTTGGCAATTATAGAAAGCCACTCCTGTGAAGTTGCTTTTTGGGATGAGGGGATAACGGAGACAAGGAAATCACTGCCGTAGTTAGGACCACTTTCATGCAAGCAACCTGAGACCAGTTTGCCTATGAGATTGCCTTATCCCACATGTTCCCAATCCACCACTTCAATCGGCGGAATTGGCACTGCTACATAATACACGTTCCACATTTGTAAGAACTCGGTTGTTTAGTGTGGCAGCACCTGCACTTTGGAATTCCCTGCCTACTGAGATCAATCAGGCACCTTCACTGTACTTTTTTCATGCCTGCTCAAAATATTATTGTTTAGACAAGCCTACCCAGATGCTTACGACGTTTCCGTGCGCTGCTCTGGTTCGCCAGAAGTGGCTTAGTCATGCTGGCCACATGACCCAGAAGCTGTACGCCGGCTCCCTCGGCCAATAAAGCGAGATGAGCGCCGCAACCCCAGAGTCGGTCATGACTGGACCTAATGGTCAGGGGTCCCTTTACCTTTACCCAGATGCTTAGAAAGTTGAAGAAATTTTAATCTGTTTTAGTATGTTAACTTTGCATGTTTTGAAGTACAGTGGTACCTTGGTTGTCGAACTTAACTCGTTCCGGGAGTCCATTCGACTCCCATAATGGTTTGAAATCCAAGGTGCAGCTTCCGGTTGGCTGCAGGAGCTTCCTGCACTCAATCGGAAGCCATGGAAGCTGCGTCAGAAGTTTGGCTTCCAAAAAACGTTCGCAAACCGGAACACTCACTTCCAGGTTTGTGAGTCCGGGAGCCAAGCCATTCGACAACCAAGGTACCTCTGTATGTGATTTTTTCTCTCCGTTATATTGTTTTATCTTTTTGTAAAATGCTTTGCGATTGTTGTTGTTGTTTTGACAATCAAGCGGTTTATAAATTTTATAAAATAGTATAAATAAAATAGGATCTGCTACTGAGATAGGGTCCCTTCCCTTGTTGCCTGAGGCCATACAGGTTAACAATATTAAGTTTAGATGTAGCCTCCACCACCTTTGCCTGTTGTGTTGGTCTGAGTGTTATTTATCCACTTGAGCAAAAAACAGAAGTATTGCGCTCTCTTGCATTAAAATCGTGACTCAGAAATCATTTTGTTACCTTCTTTATGCGTTTGTGATTTATGAATCAAACAAAACTGGTCAGAGACACACATATCTTAGATTTGGTGCACATATTCCATTTGTATATATATATCAAAAAGATAGCCTTCCTTTCCTTCATGAAACTCAAGACAGAAAGGATAGTCTTCCCAATTAGTTTCCCATAGAGACACTGACCGGACGCCAGACCTTCTCAGTTTCAGCACAGTTGGGGGGACAGGCCCTGATGGCAACACAAAATCAAATTGTATGTTCATCTTAACTGGAATCTGAAGGATTTTTGTAAGCTTAAATGTGAACAGGATTCTGGACAAAAGATTTGTAATTCTGTGACTCAAGTCATTGCTAAGCAATGGCATACTTTTCTTTTTCTGATATGCCTGTTCTCTTTCACACCTCATCTTGCCTACTGTTTGTTTTTGCTCCTTTTCTGTTTGAGAAATGTAATCTATACCAATTAACTGTGTATCTGATTTCAAGGGATGGCATCACTCCTTTCCTAAAACCACTGGGGTTACCAATTAAGCAACATCCTGGCTACTTGGTTAGCATTTAATCAACCTTTACTTGGATTTTTCCTATTTCTTTACTTGGAATCGCCCTCCCCTTCTATTTGGCTAAGGCTATCTGAATCATTAGCTCACTGAGCAGGGAGACAAATCAAATTGTTAAAGGTAGATGACTGAAAATTCATTTAACTCTTTTAATTACCTAGCCCGAAACAAGTGTAATGGTTTGGGGGGAGGCAGAGTTTCTTGTCCCTGCCCTCTGATTAAGAGCAATTTGTTACAGAGGAAGCCCTTCATTTGCATGAAATAGGTTGACCTCAATCTGAGTTGTTGAATAATTATGTTTAACTATAAAAACTCCATATTGGCATATACATTTGGGACTTGGACTGTACTGGGATTGCAATGGTTAAGCTGGTGATTGATGCTGGGTGTGTGCAATTGCACCCTGTTTTATCACTGATTCATACCCACTATTTATTATCTATCCAAATTGTACCAACTGCTAATATGACTGGAATTTTCTCTACTCGCCCCCCTTCCGACTTCTCCGTCCCAGTACTTGGGGTACAGCTTTGCTATCTGTTTCTCCTGCAGCTAATCGTAATATTTACAGATTAAAACCTTGGGAATCCCAATCACTGATATATAGGTCAAACCTAGAAGGCAATAAGGGACTAAATTGTAGATATCAGCACTTAACTTATGTCCATTAAATATTTCTGTCAAATGTGTCTGTCCCGCTGCTAGAGCAACTGAGAAACTAACAGCCCAGTCTGTCAACATCACCCTTGCAAAATTAAGAAAACACATTTTATTCCTGTAAAGAAGTCCCACTTAATCACATGTCCTCCAGAATGCTAGATGGATGGAATAGTGTGGTTCCAGCAGTCTCAGCAGATGAGATACCACTTTGGAGAGGTAGCATAGCTAACACTTTATCTTGGGTCACACACTTCGTTGACCAATCAGGGCTCTGGAGAACCCGCTCTGTGTGTGTGTGTGTGTGTGTGTGTGTGTGTGTGTTGTGTTAGAAAGGCAAGGTTTTAGTGAAAAGGCAAGATGTATCTTAGTATGTGATCTGTTTCGGTTCTAATTTCCAATTCATAGAAATGTGTGGTTGTGTTTGCAAAGGTAAGCTAGGCTTGTTGGTTTATCATAGTGCATTGTGCATGAGCACTGTGCCGGTGGAATGGAAGAAACAAAACAGAAACCTGCAATTCAGTTTGGCTTCCCCTGACATCCAAACCCAGGATTCTGCTCCTGGACAATCTTGAATTGCTAGCCAGCTGTAAACCATGGTTTGCCATTGGCTTACGAAGCCTGGCTTGTTAGGGAGCACCAAGCCGCAATTTCAGATTCAGATGTGGCTTCCTGGTTTGTTCCTCCCACTTGCGCCCAGGGAGGAGTGAAGTAAGAGCAACTGGGAACAATACACCCCAATGAGAGGGCAACTTTAGCTTATTGTGACGTGCAGATGTGCCCAATTATTCCAATAGGGATGCCCCTTGGACTTTGCTGATTTGTTGTCAGCAAACATCTGTGGGACTTTTCAGAGCTACTGCTCATATTTATTATTATCATTAACTTCGCTCCACGATGTAATTTAGAATTATAATATGGGGCATTTATTTTAAAGTTCTAGTTTGGATGTCGGCAAAGTGATTTGGGATCAACATATCTTAAAATTAACCTTCCTGCTTGAAAAGAACAGCTAAATACATGAATACAGAGAGGATATGCACTCTTTTGTATAATGACAAAAGACTCAGAAAAAATTAAAGAAGACATATGTTAATATAGCAGGCTAGGGAGCTACTAAATTAGCCTTCAGGGGTCACAGATTGAAATAATCATATGTAAAATACAAGAGGAGGAAGCCAAACCATTAGAGTATATATTACACAGCCAGTGAACAAAAAATGAAATACCAATCATATAAGAGATCTCATTGTTATAATACTCAACAAGGAGGTCGGAATCTATTCTGCGAAATGTCAGGGAATAAAGGGCTAGCTTTTACTGAAGTGTGAGCATAATGAATAGAGGTGCAGATAAAACATGAAAGATTCTTTTGTCAGATTAAGGAATAAAAGGCTCAAGATGCACTTAG